CTGTTGCCCACAAAATAAGTAGAAAAGAAACTCCAGCGAGCGCAACAAAACCGAATCTTATTCACCCTGTGGTGGAAAACATCGCAAAAAACGATGATCTTCCCACAAAAAATCCGTTAGATCGACCTGGAACCTTTGAAGCACCAAATAATGTTCGAAAGTGTGTTCCGGGCGCGAAAATTCGGATGATCATAAACGATGTAATGGATACTGTACTTCAAAACCTTTCAACATAAGCTATTACGGAAAAATAGGAAAATTATCTAGTTTGTTTCGGTTTTCTGCGAATTTATGCGAACTTCGCCCGATTCGTCACATGGCGATCATGTTCCGCAGCCTGATGAAGATGAATTACTTTGCAGAATGTACAGGTAATCAGGAAAGTGCCTTTTTGTGAGCTGCTATCCCGAATTTCCGAGTCAAGGAACCGCGCTTCGGTTTTCCATCAATTCATGAAATTCAGGAATTGCATATTTTTCCGGATATTTTTTTCCACGATGAGGGATCTGCTACTGTATTTATCAGCCGCGGAAGTTTTTGAAAAGTATCAAAAGATACTAATTCGAGTTTGGTGAGACAGAAAGAGCGTGAAATAGAAAATTCAAAAATATATAGCAAAAATATCTTGCGAGTCACATAACAGGTTCTGCTGTCACTCATATCAACACTATTTATTTCACATTCGGGTGACCTTCCGTGATGTATCAATACAGTATCTTTACTTGAAAATTATTCGCTTTAATTGCATCCGTTTCCGCAGCATCGAAACAATTTAGGGATAAAATCAATTTTCGAGTCGATCATATTCACTGAATGTACCGCACTTTTCGGATCAATTTTGACTCGAAAAAAAGAATGCGTATCAGAGCAGACATTATCTTCCGTGAGCTTTCTAAATTTTAAATCAGGGGGATTTCCGAATAGTTACATTAAATCATTCGTAACTCCTCTCCGCATTGAGTATACAGTATATTCAGCAACCGTACTGCTAATGGGGATCACTCTTAAGTCTAATCTAAACTAAGCCAAAAAATGAGCATACGGAATGCAAATATGAGAAAGCTTCCGACAATTTTTGTCTTTTTTCAGGTGAAAATTATCTCTAATGTAGTTTGCGAATTAAAATTTGTTTTAATAACTTTAAACGGAGTCTTCATTTGCAGATTTCCATTCCGATGCATTATTTTACTATGAATCTACGATGACACTCGAAAACTGACGAGATTTTTGTGGCAACCGGTAGGATAGTACCTGACAAAGCATGAATCAAACGACCCGGTGTCCCATATTCGTAAGTCAACTCGTTATTATTATTAATTTCTTATGTGCAGGAGAATCTTTTCTCTTACAACAAATGCGAATGCCGTATTTCTATATTCACGGGATCAGCAAGACATAACTTCAGCTCTATTAGCATGATCAACTCGAGGACAATTCAACCGCCTCAAAGAAAAATAATCTTGAAAAGCCAGTATAGATTTCTAAATTTCTCTGAAGGGTGGTAAAAGAACCCTTCCGAAAATGTGAAATGCGGAGGCTTCGCGGATGGGTTATTCTCAAAGGTTCCTCTGGGACCAGAGCACGGCAAGCAGCCGAATTAACGCGATTTGCATCACGAATGACGAAGCACAGACTGGGATTGACACACGTATCCTCTCTCTGCGCCAGAATTCATTAGTACATCTTCGTTCACTCCGACACGTGTAGTGCAGTACAGTACTTCTGGTTAAGGATCTGTGCGGATTCACAGGTTCCCACGGTTTGAAGCCCACTGGCTTCCGCTTCTTAACCAGAAATAACAAAAACATATGTGAAAATAAATAAAATTATGACACACACGCGAGGCAGGATTCTCCAGGGAATGCAGTATTTCGAGAAACAGTGTTTCCTGGAGGAGCAAGACGAATACATTTCGAACTCTTCCACCAGTAAATCTCAATGCGTTGATGGGTAAATACTCGGACACGGGCAGAAAATTACAGCGGGTTGCTTCACCGTGATTTCGCCACGCGGTAGCCGACATGCAAATGAGTCTTCTTGCAACATCTTGCCGCGATTTTCGCCGATTGTTCGCGAAGAACGAGCAGAAGGAAAGTCCAGGGTTCATCCGACAGCTCTCCACGGCTGTGAGTCTGTTTCACAGGGAACCCTTGGACTCCTGTCGTCACGAAACGAACCTGAAGGGCGGAGGCGCATATATACGTGGCATCGCTGGGGCCTGCGCAGTTGGGCCACTCACGTGAGCGTCGCGTGCAATCCTCACACTCGACCATGGTGAGCATGAGCAGCTCACGACGAGCAATTGTTCACCAGGTCTTGTTCGATGCACCCTCAGCGTGGGTTCCCTTTGCACTGGGTGCTGGGCTCTGTGCACGCTAATTGGGCGAGTTCTCTTGACACAGGTCGTGAACTAATAAAGGCGCTCGAAGACAGATACGCCTGATGCTGTAATTTCAAGGTGCCAGGGCAGCTGAGCATGCTCCGAAACAACGCCATAGTCAGAGCGGGGGATTTTTTCATCCCTGCATAATTACTTCATTTGAATCATTTTCACTAGACAAAATTTGTGCGGATACCCAACAATCTAGATGGATGATCCTCATAAGGAAAAACGCATGCCGGTGTTCACAAGCAATTGACTCATTTTGAGCTTTTTCCCAACAAACTTCACGGCATTTTCGTTATTCAAATAAGAGGAATGAACTTTTAGTTTTAATGTTTGAGCTAATGTTCGAGGTCAAACATTTTCAAATGAGAAAAATGCTCAGGTCTTAAAAAAGTGTTTTTATATCTTTCTAAAATCATTTTAAATGTCTTCAAGGATAGGCTTTTTGTAGCAATTTTTGCATCCTTAACAAGTAGAAAATTTCAATCGGATCCGCTGTAGCTTGTTGATAATAGATAAATCATGCGAAATAACAATCTAGCAAACATTCCCCGCATCGTGAATGACATTACAAAACAGATTAGTTTAGGCATGCTGGAACTAACTGTAACTTGTATACTGTATTACAGTAGTTCGTCTTTACACGCTGAAAAAGAATTTATGCTAGATTTTGACCAAATGATTTCCTCAGGTTTTTTAAAATCATTTTTTGTTTGCTGGAATGTAATTGCATAATTAAAAGAAAAATAAAATCACAACCAATTTGTTAACATAACAATGCTATAAGAGTGTAAATTTTTAATAAATAAGAGGCTCGACAAAATTTTACTAATTTTGCTAATTTTATTTACGCATTAGACTGGCTTACAGGAGGATGCAGGTGCCTGTGCTGCTTTTATCTTCGATGATTTGGCAGAACGGTGATTTTTGCAAGCATTTTTATTGATCACTGCATGCCATTGATAAAAATTTCGCGAGTTGTTTTGGAGGACGACATAATGTGACAGTTTAAATAATATAATATTATATTATTAAATTATTTTTATCATGACATTTAGCACTTGACACAAAGGTAGATACTGTATGTGACTACTCGAAAATAAAACCTTTTGATAATTCAGTATCATGATATGTCAATAGAACTCATCTCATTTTATGCATGAACAATTGATTCATCAAATAGTCATACGTATTTTTGCAGCCTCTTTAATGCGACCACGCAGCTCGTTTAAAATTTTGAAAGAAAAGCATCTGCTCATCAATTTCCACTAATGTTACAATAATAAGCAAATTAGGGACTAAACAACAGCCGAGCTCTTCGTCGGATGCATTCACAGCTTATGCCTAGCATATAGTTTTGAATCGTTTATGTCTTTATGAAATAATGAATGCGACTAATAACGAAGCACGCATCTAGCGCTTTAAATAATCATATGCGTGATCCGTGCCACATTGTCGACAGGTGAAACCGCATTTCTTTGCTGCATTATGAAACGATAGTCAATCGAAACTTTGGCAATGTATATATTTTCCTAGACACGGCATTTCCGGAGCATTTTTTGTGAAAGCGAAAAAATGTGAACTTTTAATCGCGACCCCAAATAACGGCCTCCGTGGTTAATAAATCATTTATTCAATTTATGGGTAACAAGTACCGAAGCAACAGAGGGATTCAGAGGAGAAAGCAGTTCTTGAAATGCGGGGAATTGGAGGAGAGATTTATAAAGCTGTCCAATTTATTTACGCAGCTGTTCGCCACACGGCGATGATCAAATATCAATAAAATTTTGCACCAAAAGACGAAAAGACAAACCTCACTAGCTGCCCTTTCTTCCATTATTACGTCCATGTAAAGGCACAGTTTCTGACTTTTCCGCAAACATTACAAAATTAACTACACTATCTACAACAGCATTCAATTCCTCGAACGCGCAAAAATTTAAAATTAATAAGTACCGGTACATAAAAACGGCTTTTATCGGTTCAGTGCATTTCCGTTATGCCTTCATTCGTTCTGTGTGTTTCCATCTTGAGGATCGTGTTATACATTCACATCATTGTGTACAGTTTTTTGTGTCCATCATTATCATTTGCTCTTCGTTAACTTGGAGGACTATATGAAATGGACTCGTGGGAAACCAGTCTAATAAGCAGGATTTATTTTTGCTTTCATCATCGAACCAGTTTCTTCGCAGTTTCCAGCTTCTTTAAAAAAATCGGTCTCGTGTAAGAAAATACAGTACAGTTCAGCTTGACATATTTGTTTACCTTTTATATATCGCAGTAATAAAGGTTACAGAGAGGATTTTCGGTCTAGATTTCAGACGGCTCAGATGTTTTGAAGAAAATTCTGCAAAGCGCATCAAGAAGCGTGACATAAAAATTGCATGAAGCCCGGGATTTTTCCTCGCTCTGCGGATCGTGGCAAGCTTAGAACTGCTGTACTGTGTGCTGGAATTCGGATCCGAGAAGAAAAAAAGCCTCGACGGAAGCAATAATAGCGAGAAAACGGGAGGACGAAATTGAGGGCTGAGAGGATGTGAAAGACTTGGAGCCAGGCAACGTGTATTTATTCTCCTCATATCCCCGAAGGAGAAAGAGGTCAAGAACTCACCGGAGAAGCGCTGACGGCGTGCAAGGCAACCGCGACGACCACAGCCAAGATGATGACGTTAATTCCAGCCACCGGCATCCCGAGCATCTTCTCAACGTCCCACGCCTCTTCAGCGAAGCATCGTTCGACAAAGGAATCGCGTTCCAGGGACTCGATCGATCCACTGCGACACTCGACCTCACTTTTCCCTCCGCCGCTCTTCACCCCATCATTCCGCACAATTTTAGCCGTATTGCTTTCGGTTCGTCGACTCCTGGGCGATGAAAGCGAGAAAATGAAAACAAACAGACACACACACAGAAAAAAAGGATCGGATGCGGTCGACCTTCATGTGCACGGTCGCGTGATCAAAGGCATGCACAGCACGTCTTGGTGATAACAGATGATCCGACGCTCATTAACAGAGAACTAAAGCGATCCGCGGCCGAAAAGGAAACGGACATTCCAGGCACAGGGCGGGCGCGGGATACGAAAAAAAAAATTATCGCGTCGAGTTATCGCGGTTTCATTAAAGGCGGCGAATTACGTAGCGCACGACGTTGTGGCTCCGATCGAGTCCGCCGCCAGCTGACCGAACTTCGCCGCCGACTGGCGCCTTTTGTCTTCTGTGTATTTTTTCGTGTCTTTTCTGAGCGGCGGCTTGGGGGAAAGAAAGATACCACCACTGTTTTTTTTTTTCCCGCAGGGTTTAGAATTGAATTCCAACGCAAATTTTTCCGCATCAGACACAAATCACTCAATTTTCAAATTCCGTTAATTTTCATGCACCTAAAATCGAGAATAATTTCACTCGCACTTCGACTTGTTTTTCATTACATAACAGGTATACTGTATGTACATCAAAAACTCCATCAAGTCCAGGGATGTGGATTCGGAGGTTCGAATGCTTAATTTCTGTCAATCGGGCATCGGAAAATCAATGATAGCTGTCCAGAATAATGGAACATGTCTTCCGCAATCTTCTAGCATAAAGTCAATTCTCGATGCAATTGAGATGAATTGCTCGAAATTTAGAAAAATAACACAATGTCCTTATGATGCCGAGATTAAAATCAATCTGTCAACTTATTTTGTTTGAATAAATTTATGGAACGGGCAAACTTTAATACGATTACTAAAAAAGAATTGAATTAGCTCACATTTTCACTTCCTCTTGAGTTATGTTCCTATCATTCATTAGCAGCTCAAATTCTAGTTATCATCCGGATGCAACAATAATAGGCAAGATTAAATTTTTTCAGGAATCGTCGTGCTTTTTATCCCCTTCTATTACATTGACAAATGGAATGGAATTTCAAAGATTGTGTTACGCACAGTACGACATAATCTGAGACACCATCGAATCGAAGACGTCATCGTTTCCACGAATAATCATTCCAATGTTTGAGAGCTTATCACATGAAGCTAGTATCTGAGTAAATGCAATCTGTTACTCTTCCATCATAAAACTAAGATGAAATTTAAAATTGCGAAGAAAATAGTATGTAAAAAGGTGGTCCGACTCGCTCCACCTCAGGGATGATGGACAAATTGTCGACAGTTATCTGTTGCAAGCAAGCTGCAAAATAACGAATGTAGGAAACCATGCATCAAATGGAAGAAGTATTGCGAAGGAAGGTAAATAAGGAAGGGTAAACCCGAAGGTTGGAATTCCCTCGGGTCTTCGAAGAGACCGCCATTTACTTCGGGTAGAATTGCATCGAGTCCTAAATATAAACTCGAGTAAGAAATTTTGATGAGACAAGTGACACAGCAGGGTGCTCGTTCTCCCACCTCCGCAGAACCCCAGATTTCCGACCGAATCGGTCACGCAAGTTTTTTCGTCTCGAAAAAGAACATTTCTTCATGGTCTCGAAAGAACCGTGCGTGATAGGTCCGTGCGAAATCACAGGTACGGAGCAGTTCCAAGGATTTTAGTTTTCCTCGGAAAAGTAGAACCTACCGCATTCAGTCTACCATTGTAAGTGAAGTGCAGTAAAATTCCACAACAACTGATTTTTTTTCATCATAATTATTCTTGTTTCTAGGTTACAGCCCTTTCTCCGTAGTAATGCTTTCTCCATGTTATAAAAATCTCGTTTTAATAAAAACTAATTTTCACCAGGAATATCAGTTTAACTTATTTTTAGCCTTGATTTGCGAATGAGTCATCTACACTTGTTGTCCATTTTCTCACAAAAAAATGAGAGAACCCAACATCGGCAACATTAAAAGCCCACCAAAAATGGAACTGCTAGTCTCTTTTCCATACAATCTCGAATTGAAGGAGGTATGAATTTTTTCAGTTTCATTTTAGGATTTCGAAATGGGTCATTCGTTTTAAATAAATGTACGTTTGAAAGAATATTTTCGATTTCATTTCAGGGAACGTACACATGTAAATGAATGAGTCATCTTCTTATGCATGTATTTTCTTCGTTTCAGTAGCTAATATTCCAGTAAAAACAGCACAATTTTAAGAGATTTGACGCATCAGGGAAGATTTAAAATAATTGCTGATTCTGCATTTTCCTACTTCTTTCATTAAAAGATTCAAAATAAGTAAAACTCTCCAAATATCGGTTGTTGAAACATTATACAGCATTAATCACCTGTTTCCCAAACAATTTCAGTCATAAATTCACCAAAAAAAAATTTCATATATAACGAATTTTTCACAGGCCTCTGTATGAGGGTCCATCGGCAAGAGATTTTACTGTATTTCGTATATAATGAAAAATGTTTCTCCATGTAATAAACCCAACATTTTCTTTCCATAAAACTTTCCTTGTGCGTATTTTCCTTTTAAAACGTATTTGAACGTATTTTCCTTTTTTTAAATGCACGGATAATTCGTTCCAACTTCAGAATAGCTTCAGGTGAAATTGTCAAGATATTGAACATTTTTGGATTGAGGATTCTGAATCGTTCATCGATGGGCCGCATTTTGATTACCTGCGCATTTTCCATCTGCCAAGTTCCTTCAATAATGATCAGCACCACGAGAATGAAGTCTTCAGTGACGGGAACAAAATTTATAAAAGCGCACACAAATGCACAAAACTGTTATGGATAAAAGAATTGTGATAGAGCGACTTCTCTTTGTTGAAACCCTGGGTTGGAATCGACAGTATTCTTCCATTCGATTCAAATCATACCTGAACATATTGTCAGCGGAAAGAAGCATTGAAGTCGCTAATGATATTTTATTCCTTTAAATGTGTACAGATGAGGTACTTACCGGGCAAATCTTCAAGCCCTGGTCTTAAAGGTTTCACCCGCCCAGAACAACCGAATTGCTTCACGAACACCGAGACTGACACGAACGAACAAGAGCGAATCAACAATAGAATAGTCTTCTGAGAACAAATTTTTCTACGAGAACAAACGCACGCACGGACATTCACCCACGTGAATAAAGTCGGGGAAAATTCACAAAAAATGTTAAAATAACTAAAAATTGACTTTCTGGACAAAGAATGTTGTATAGATACTTCCACCAGGGAAACATCTCTGAAGTCCAAATGTCCAATACATCTTCCTAGGGTCAGGAGCGATAGACCAGAATGTTAATCGCAAATATCTGAAATGACTTTTTTGATAAACAAAAATCCAATGAAAGTGTATTCAGTTTTCTGTGTGCGTAAACTGTAAAGAGTGCTGAATTTCATTTAATAGTTTCAGTAATGTGGCTAGCTTGCTAACAGCATTATTGAAGGAATAACGCCCAAGTAAAAATTGACATTTGTAGGAAATTTTTGCCAATAAGGTCTGTGAGCATATATATGTCGTAATGGATACAGTCTGTGTCTCGCAATAATTTGCATTAGACATTCGAGCGACACACTTATTCTGGTGAGAATGACAGTTTGGGACTTCTGAGAATTTGTTCAGCATTTCCGACAAATTGTTTGCAAGCACGCCGGGAAAAATGAGAAAAATCTCACGGGCGACAGAATTTCCCCTGCTGCAATTGGAAAGAAAATTTTCATCTTCTTATTTATCCATGGATACTCTTAATATGAATGGAACGTTAAAAAAAGTAGCATAATGATATCTGTGTTTTTTTTCTGTCGTTATAATTTCATCCGTCTCTTCATCATGCATGTACATACTACATATTGATCAACTCATCTTCCACATTCAGCTAAATTTGAACCGGTGAAATAGACTATGAATGTGCAGAATTTTTCAGGTAAATGCATAACCATTTCAAACCTCTGAATTTAAAACTGTTCAACAAATTTGCCTAAAATTTTAATAACCTTTGGGAATAGTCAAAGTCGTAGAAGAAAAAGTTCATATTCTTTCGTTAAAAAAAACCCAAAATTTGCAATGCGTTTCGAAAATTTCTGTATTCGTCGCGGCCTTCTTTTCCTAAAATACAAGCGAATTAAAAATAATCAACGGAGTTCCGGGTACTTCTTGGTGGGGTCCAGGACAGTACTGTACATGTGTTTGCGGGGGATCAAAAGAAAATCCTTGGACACGCGATTACGGTTAATGCGAACCGCGAAGATTTACGACGGAAACATCAAAATCAAATTGAAGCTTGCACAGCATTTGGAAGCTAGATCCGGGCAATGAAAATCATCCGAATCACCGTAATCTTTGCTCATTAGCTTCACTCCTCATCGGTTTCGGGAGGGCTGTTCCGAAACACCGTAAAAATTACCCCTAAACACATGCTGACCCGTGCTTCTCCTGAAGCATAACTGAAGTATTAGTGACAATAAATACAAATTTCGGAAAGAAACAATGAAAGTCGCCATGTGGGGGAGTACAGTATATAGTGCCAGAGAATGGACGATTATATGAGCGCCGGGCCTCACGCGGAAGTACATAGCCTCGTTTTCACGGCGGCTGCAGCTCGTTAACCTTGAATGGCAGAAGTACAGTACAGTACACCAGCATTCGCTGGGAACGGCACGACCGAGAAGGAACTGCGCGATCGGGTGCGAGGTGCCAGCGGGGTTCAATCTCGCCAGTCCGCGATTATTACCTTCGACGGTCGCACTCCACTCTGGGAACCCGCGCAGTTTCTTGTACGGTATTGTTGCGGCCGCAACTGAGACTCCGGAGTCGAAATCCTTGGGAATCGATGAGAATGACACCTTTACTATTATTTTTTCAACTTTGATTTATTTTCTCTGAGCGGGAAGAAACCCTGGGTACGCTGTCAACCCTGAGGAAGTACTGTACTCACTCGTGAATCATACAGGCCGGTCTGTCATGACGACCGTTGTCTCTCACGCCAACAGTCACTCATTGCACTA